GGCTGGGTTACCAACCAATCATCATCGTCCATAAAATACAGCAGTTATTGCATACTTCATATGCAATAACTATATATAATTATATTACTATTAATAAACTTGATCAAATAAATAAAATTTCTTAGATTATACTAATTTTCTAGCAACTCCAATTTTGAATGAATTAAAATTATATACAATTAAATTTTACTTTTAATTTTTGAAGTTTCGGATTTAGACACAAGGCATAACTTAAGGCAAAATAAAATTACTGTAACTTTTACGTAATTTTACGTAAATTTGCAAATGTTTATGAAATCACAATTACATGTAATTTTGATCATGAGAATAATTTTGGCCAAAACTTTTACCGTATTATCTCAAAATAACGTGCTATTCGAGATAATACGGTATAATTCAGAATAAAGTAAATATAAAATTACGGTGCTAAACATAATGATGATATTACTTTTTAATAATGATAATGTAGCGTATTTGGGAAACAATTTATGATTTTAGTAATACAGAATGAGATTATAATAAAGATATGATATGAAAAAGGACACTTATAATTCGCCAATATAAGGATATATAGTTTTTACAGTATGTTTAAATCACCTCTCGAGGCAAGCGAAAAATTAGTATTAACTCAACGTATGATAAAAATCATTTGGAAGGCCAAGAGTAGTTACAGTATCTCTTCAAGTCACCCCCACATCATATAAAATTTAGGTAGTGACGTCTATCATGACTAAGAATATAAATCAACATAATCGTAATTTAAGAACTATCGAAATCATAAGGTATATCAGTTGACATCATTATTAATCAAGGAAACTTAAAATGCGATCATTAGTCAAATTGTAAATAGAAATAGGTTCATAATTGAACGATAAATATATTAACTCTTTGATTTTCTCTTTTGCAATAGTGTAGTTAAAAAGAATGACGGTCAAAACTATAAAAAATAAAAAAGAAATTATCAGAAGTTCGTTAAATCTTATATGGGAAGCTACTAAGGAGAAGTTAGAGAAATATTTTTCAATGAACCATTGTGCTCAGCAACCGTTTTCTTAAGTGATGGCACTAACGATACTGAAAATTTGGGTACACCTGGAGTGGTTCTAATTTCTGATGAAAATTATCGAAGAATAATCACTGATTTAGCTATTACCATTGAAGATGTAATCGATGTTAAAATATTTATTGTTGCAAACTGTTGCTACCTATTTTACATTATGCAATATTTCATTTAATCTGATTTCGTTTAACTTTTTAAACAAAATTTAGGATTTAGATGGTGATCTATTATCGCAAGTTGATAAGTTAATGTTTGACGCTCAAACAAATGAAAATGATACATTAAATTTGGAAGAAAACCAACGGACTGAAGATAGTCATATAAATGATTATTTTAAAATTTCAAAAAGAAAGGTGAACAATAAAGTAAGAGATTTCAAAAGTTGTCAATTAAGAATACATTAAATAGTTTAAATATCTAATTGCTTTTTTTTTAATAAGAATGAGGTAACAAAGATTCTCAATAATATTAAATAATAAAGTAATTATTATTAACAATCATTGAAAAACCTCAGCAAAGTAAAAATTTCAGTAATGACTTTGAAAATAATGAGGAAACCGATAAATTACCTGCGTTAATCAATATTACTGCAAATACTTTTCAAGCTAATAGCGCACTCGATAATGAATGAGTTAATGATAATCAGGTAAGAAAGTTTCTTGCGACTAAGTTAACTTGAAAATCTAATTTATCATTGACAAATTACAAACTTTAGAAAGTTGAAAATAACATCTCAAGAATGTTTGAACAAACAACCCAAGCTGGCGTTATCGGATCTATTCAAGATAATGATCATGTAAGAGATCTTCCTAACCGATTAATAAATATCAAAAAACAAAATTATTGATTAGTTTATTGTCAATAGAAAGACGACTTTGACGTAAGCGATGATGATTCACCAGGATGGTCAGAATGTGAAGATTGCTATGGAAATAAAAAGGAATTTTGTAAATTATGTGGCTGTTCTGTATGCAAATAGAAAGGCGACAGAGGTCATATCCTCTTGTGTGATGGTTCTTGTAGTAAAAATTTCCATACCAGATGTCTAAAACCTCCACTCACAAGAATACTAGCTGGAAACTGGTACTGTAAAGAATGTGAAAATTTGAATTCAAAGAAATTGAAACGTAAAATGAGACATGAATATTCAAGTTCAGATGAAAATGATAATCAAAGTACAAAAAAAAACAAAAAATTGAAATCTAAAAGTGACAAAAAATATAAGACATGAAAAGATACATTGGATTCTGACGATGAAGACAATCAAAATATAAGGAACTTTTCAAAGAAAAAACAATGAATCGTAGTAAAAAGCGTAAAACCTTTTTGGATCCTTTGGGTAATATATTTATATCATGTTTTTGCTAATTCCACAGATAATAATTTTTGCTTAAGAAAATTATGTAAAAATTATAGAAAAATCAACACCGTATAACGATAGCGCTATTAATGACTCAATTGAAAACAGAGTGGAAAACACTAATTTTACAACTGTTGTAGAAAATAAACAAACCAATGAAGGTGAACAAACCAATGAAGGTGAACAAAATAATGAAGGTGAACAAAATAATGAAGGTGAGCAAAATAATGAAGGTGAACAAAATGGTGGTGAACAAAAGGATGAAGAAAGTGATGAAGGAGGACAACTTAGAAAGCACAACATTCCAGTAGAACAACTTGGTAATATTAAATCAGTCAAAAATATTGTATCATTATTATTTGGGATCTTTGCTAGAAAATCACCCTTCGAGCCATTAAAAAATCCTAGCAAAGATCCCATTAAGAAACAAATTTAAACCTTATTATTATTGTATATAAAGAAGCTACGCCTTATCAAGGAGATATTAGTGGTTCTGATGCAATTGAAAAAGAACAAGAAAATGAGACTCAAAGGTTGGGTTCTAGGTTTCAGGTAAATTTTTGCGAATATTAAAATCAATATAAATAATATTAGTAATTATAATGTCTCTAAACTATTTCATATTGGCTAGGATATTTCCAAATTTCCTTCTGACTTGACAGATAATAGTTTGCCTAGTATTAAAGAAATCATGGTAAATATTAATAATTGAACAAGTTTATTAATGACCATATAATAATATAATAATATTTTTGTAACCAAGAACAAAGTTAACATTGTGCTATCAAGTGTTTCGGAAAGTCAACAAATAAGAAATGTTAGTAATTTACTGCATATTTTTCTTTTTTTATATGTGTTGAATTCTTTTTTAATTTAGAAAGTGATACCAACCTCTTCAATCATTGATCAGGTAAAGTTTCAATTATTATTAAATACATAACCTTTAATGAATATAACTATTTAAATAATGATCACTATTAAAGAGCGCAGATACAAATCAAGATATTCTGCCAACTTTTATAAACGAAGAGGTAAAAATTATTTAAATAATATAGTAAATTTCTAACATAATTTATTAATACTGTAATTATTATTAATTAAGGAATGCACAGGAGATTTTCAGACATCTTCAAATGATCCTTTCTCTGGAAAAAAAGAAAAAATGATACAAAAGGAAAAACAAATTCTTGAAGATAGTCAAATTGAGCAAGTAAACTAAATATAGATTATTATTTGAATTTTATGAACTTAGTTTAACTTATTTTTATAAAGTATAATACAATTCCGATTGGTGATAGTTCAGTAAAGTTTAATATTATGAAAAATCGCAATGCTTATATTTAAATTATTATTTTTCTTATTTATAAAAAGAATAAAATAGATGATTCTCAAGTAATCTCATCGGATATTAATATTATTCAGGTAATAACTTTTTATGTGAATTATTAATTTTTATAAAGATATTATCAAATTAAAAAGAAATCAACCATACAGACTAACAGTTCTAACGATAATTGGGAAACAGATTCTCAAAGTTTACTTTTAAATATAGAGCCTTCACAAGTAAGGAATTCAAAAAATCCTGAAATAAAATAAATATATTTTATTACTAAATAAATAAATATATATAACAGGATAAAACCAAGAAATATTTTGATATTCAAATCGAAGGCAACCCAAAACCAATAATGATTAATGATGAACCAACAAACAAAATTTTCGAAAAAATCCAAAAGGAATTTGAGGATTTTTCCTTTCTTACAATTAATAATGCTAATAGTTATTTTGAAGAAAAGGTTGATATAAGATGTCAAATCAGAAATATCTGCAAAAAAATTTCTGATAATGAAACTAATTATAATAATTCAAGGGTTCAATATATTTATTCGCTTTGTGAATTAGCACGAATTTCATATGAATTAACAAAAAAGGTAAAAGAACTAAAGAAAGATAATAAGTTTTCGGTTTCTAGATTTATTGAGGAGATAGATCAAGAGACAGGTAGATGGAAACGAAATCCTAATGCAAATGAATGAAACAGTTTATTCGTAAAAGGTGAGACAGTTAAAGTGCGAGTATATAAGATTATATCAGCAGAAGCATCAAGTATGAGAAAGGAATTGAAAATTAGGGATAAGATGATTGCAGCATGACGTTTCTTCATTCTTGTAGTGCATTTAGGGTGGAGCGTAATTTCTGAGAGTAAAAAAATTGATCTGAACAGATTAAAGATTATGTTAGCAGCTAAATGGGAAGAGCTTATTAAAAATATCAAGGAAAAATACCAATCAACCGATAGTAATTATAAGCTTACTGAAAAAATCTTAAAAGAATTAGAAAACAATTTTTAGAGCAAAAATTTTGAAGTTTCAAACTTTGTATAAGTTAGTTAAAACTTTTTTCCTGCCATTCCGGTCTTTATACAATATAATATGTATTAATTTATTATTTGCAGTCTGGTTTAAATTCAGATCGATTTCTATATTAAGTTTTCTCGTTCTTTATTAATATGAATTTTATAAATTAGACCTTAGGAATCTAGTAGAAAATCATAATTTTAAAAAATAAACTTTAAGATTGATAAATCTTGAGTTGATAATAATTATTTCCAATAAACAGAATCTACTATAGTATTTGTCAAGAAAAGAGAAGTTTTAATGAAGAATATCGTTAACTATTTTTATGATGTCATTTATGATAATTAAGAAACTAATTCTGACATGTACAAACTCTGGATATTCTATAATTAAAATTATTTGAAGTCAGGAAGGCCATCTTGACATATGAGTAAATCGAATTTAAAATTTTTATCATTTTTTGAATCATTTTAATATATAATTAGCTTCTGTTACTTACAATCTTTTTTATTGAATATATATCTGTTCAAAAATCAATAACAGATTTTTTGTAATATTGTCAAAATTGGCCTTAAGAGCTATCCCATTTTATTGTGTAATTAATAATTATATAAACCCAGAAATCGTGACTTTCCTTCTTCAGATGTTAAACGAAAGCGATTTTGAATTGGCGCTATTTTAGAAACGTTTCATTTGTTGAGATTTATTTTTGGTAGCTCTATCAGAAATAGAATCTTATCTGGACAACCCTTTATTATTATTTTAATCACTTGCTTTATTTTCGTATCAATTTTAAATTATATTTAAACATTGCATATTCCGTAGTCAATTTTATTAACATCAAAACATTACAGAAAGTAGATATTGTATAAAAGGAAATCTGAATGTAAAAATATTATTCAACATTAAGGCAGGCAAACTCGAAAACTGTAAGAGAAAAACAATGTTCTAATACAAATTCAGTTATAAAATGAAAATCGACTAGTTTTAGTTTAAAAGGATGTCATGCAAAGTTCCACAGAAACGATGAGAGCTACTGTATGGATTGAAACATGCAAATGAAAATATCAAAACATTCAAAGAATGTACTTTGCTTTATTAAACATTACTTTATTTTCTCTTTGTACTGTAATTGTGTTTTTATTTATTGAAAGTATTATTATCATATAACTAAATTTATAAAAGAGAAAATTTGTAATCGTTATACTGTTATATGAATCTTAATGGTTGATTCACATGACCTTATTTCTGCCTTAACGTAGGCAGAGATAAGGTCACGTGATTGAAGTTTTCGCATAATGTCGGCCTAACAATCTTACCAAAATCTTCAATAGACCGAATCGAATAAAACCCAAAGTTTTTAAATATGTCCTCAAATGTATCATCGGGAGTTGCCACATCAGTAGATGCTTTTGCAAATAGAAAATTCTCACTATAAATACGATCACGTCACCAACAAAAAATCTTCAAGGTTTTTTATCCATATTCTTATGCAGCTTTGATTACTTGTGCAATTATAAATTCTCCTAATAAACAACTTACATTAAAAAATGAATTGTCCTTACTATAAGACCGCCGATACAGACTGGAAAGTATGCATTAATTTTATTAAAATTGATATTAGCTAGGGTTGTAATAACTTACCTGACAATGTAATTTTACATTGTAAATCGTAAATTACATTACAAGACCTTATATATCATAGTAAAGCAGGCCGGCTTTAGTATTAATGCCAGACATAATAAATTTAGCCAGCATTAAGGTTGTTAAAGATGAATTTTTATTATTATTATACATAACTTACATGGTAACTTACATATCTTAAAAGAACTTCCATTTTTATAATTTTATAGAATTCAATTAGAATATTTTGTCTTTACATAAAACATTTGTCCGTGTTCCACTTCATGATTCAGGTAAAGGATCATACTAGACTGTAGACTTCAGAGCTATTGGAGCTAAACAACATCGTAACAAAGATCGACTCCTGTTCTGCCAAGCATGCCATACCCAGTGTTCAGATCCTAATACTATTCTCATGAGAACAGTGCAATTGATGTAAGTGTTCTCAAGCATGATTTATGTTCACAAAAAAAAACAAAAACAAAACAATATATACAGTATATTAGAAGTTATATTCCGTATTAAAAAAATAATTCAATAATAGATAAATATTTATTTATTTTACCTTAAAATTAATACAGGTATTATATATTTATCGGTTTCTGACAACATTGTGCAGCTGTTTATTGTATACTTATAGAATGCTACTATTATTTTACTTTTTTAAAAAAATTTTAATAGTGAACAGTAAAAAATTTATACTGTGCACAAATTTATACCGTATAGTTCCGACCCAGAAACCACAATAATTAATAATAACATATAATTATAAAAAATGATTTTTTCTTGTTTACACTCTATTCTAATTTGATTTTTTTCCACCTTAATTTGCTTATTTTCAATTTTGATTCGATCATTTTTAATTTTATGTATAAACTTCTCCTGACGTTCAAGTATCTCAATTATCTCATCTATCTTTTCTTCTATCCTATAAATTTTTTCCCTAACAGAATTATCTTTTAATACTTTAGACAAGTATTTGGGAATGTCCTGACACAGATCATGCATGTTGGTCAATAATAAATGGTATTCTGATGATTTGGTTCTTCCCATAGCACCGCTTGAATAATCATCCTTTGCTGATATAACGTAAATTCTGATTGTTGTTTGCTTATCAAACCTTGATATAACACTTTGGATATAATCAACTTCGACTTTGTTAGTAAGATCTTTGCATTGAAACAATAATAAGTAATGATTATGATTGCCAAACATATCTATACCACTGTCACCTCTTGATAACCTATAAAAAAAAAAAAAACTGTAAGTAATTTGTCATCATTATCATCAAGGAAAATGCTCTGGAGCCAATACAGTCATATATCTATGCATCCTATTCACCACAGACTCAAGTGCAGCTTTTCAGATAACAGATAAAACAGAGAAAGACGTTCACAAGTAATTATTACTTGGCTCTTGTAACATCCCCTGTGGCCACGTTGCGCTTCCGGTTCTCTGCCTATTATATCATCTTAGTGGCAGCGTAACTTTAAATGCATAACGACTAAACAATCACTTAGTGATATAATTGTCTCACCTCACCCTTTGGCAGTCAATTTTTATTTTATTTTTAACCAAACTAAAAACTTTAATTTCGAATCTGTCTCCTTTAGAAAAAGAAGTAATGGAGTTATTAGAATGCTTCATTGCTGGTAAGAAAATTTCAAAATGTTCAAATTTTTTTTTTTTGAATTTTGCACTGATATATCTTATATTCATTCCCGAAATAAGCATTATATCTCATAAAAAATGATAAGGAATTATTTGAAAAGAAAATAAACACGCACTTTCATTTACAATTTAGTAATTAAAAATCCCAGAGTAAGAAAACTCAATGTAGATCTATAACATGGGGTGGGAAGTTTATTTAATTTTTCAAAGATCACGAGTTGTGCACACACATCAATTGAGGCTTTTATATCATACATATTGATTTCAATATTTTTAACGTTAATTTCTCTAGTTTTAAATGGCTTATAGTAAAAATAATTTTCTATCAAACTTTAAATATAAATAATTTGACAACTTAATAATTTTGTAAAATTACAATTACTATCCATCTTTAGAATATTTTCTAATGGCTGTAATATTCTTAGCATCCTTTGCTATGTAAATTAAAAAGCGGTAAAAGTTTTTCATAAACTCCTGTGAGAGGAAATTTTACTTCCATAATTAGAAGGCATCTGGTATAAGCTATTTTTACATATCACAAACACCTGTCTGTCAAAATTACGCAAAATTCTATTAATAAAAAAAATAATTAATTTATGGCCAAAATTAAAAACCTAATTACTTTAACGCAACCACATAATTTGCCTGTTAAAGAGCTATTGTCGAAATAGATTATTATCTGTTATATGCGTGGATTATTTGTCTTCAAATCATCATTTATATGAAGTAAAATTTCACGCGACATTATTGAAATTAAGAAGTTTATTGACTGACTCATTAATAAATGCTTTTTTTAATTTCGAACTTAGTGTAATAATCAAATGAAGTAAAAATTTATGCAAATTTAGTATAGCATGCAAACAAAATAAACGTTCAAACAAAACCATCTCATGTATTTCAATTCAGAATACTGAGCGAAGCTAATGAATGAATAAAAGAAAAAAAAATGCATATAGACAAAAAAAGTGTATATTCCAAAATTTTACGAAAAGATCCTGATTGTGCAAAACGATTGAT